CTCTCTCTCTCTCTCTCTCTCTCTCTCTCTCTCTCTCTCTCTCTCTCTCTCTCTCTCTCTGCGAAAGCGGGAAGATTCATTCCCGCTTTCCGTTTCCGAAGCCGTTCGGGAAACACAAAGCGGGAATGAACCCATTCGTTTTTTGTTTTTTTTTTTTCCGTTTTTTTCGTGCCTTTCACTACACGTTCGGGATGCCTGCGCCCGGTAGTCCGAGCCTTGGCACGGATCGGCGTACCGGTCGGCTGAGGCTCGGACTCGATAGTTGGGCCAGGTACTGGTGGTTTAATTACCAGTGCCCGTCGCTCAAGGGACGTGTGCAAGTTCTCCCACCTACCCAACCTTTCAATCGCAAGGTTGACCAAGTTGTCTCCGTGGTCCGATGGAGGGCCCAACGCCGTTAGCTTTACACGCACGATTCCGATTGTTGTTTCCTTTGCTGCCCATGAGATCTGTGATTCCTGAGGGGGATTGTCATTAAGAGGGTGCAACCACCAACCGTCAGTTTTTGAATCCCAATTCACCTTCATATCTGCAGCTAGCGAGAATTGATGTATAACATTCGTTAATGTTTGAAGGCTTTGCTCGTCTGCTCGGATCAGTATTGTAAGGTCATCTGCAAACAGCGATGTCATTGGGACCAGGTGGTCTGGCAGCTCCAGGATCGACACTTTATGGATCTGGGGGCGGGCTCTTATAAGCGAGGCCAGGGCCTCCATGACAATCACAAACAATAGTGGCGCTATCGGGTCCCCTTGGCGCACTGATCTCTTGAGGGAAAAAGGGGATGCCAAACGACCATTTAGCATGATGTTCTATGAAGAAGTTGCACCCAGAGACTGAAGATGGGCCCAAATGTTCATCGTTGTCAGACACATGTCCAGGAGATCCCAATCAACGTGGTCATAAGCTTTTTCGAAGTCTATGAAGATCACTGTTGTTGGGACCTTTCACTGTCGGGCATATTTGATTCTCGTTGGCTAGCAGTATGTTATCCTGGACGTTGCAGTTGGGCATGAAGTCCGTCTGGCCAGGATGTATGAGGAGATTCATGAGCTGCAGTAGTCTTCTGGTTAGTGTTTTTGCCACAAGTTTATAGGGGACAGGAAGGAGCGTGATCGGTCTGCAGTTTCTAATTTATTCCTTGTCCCCCTTCTTGTATAGCAGAGTAGTAATCCCTTGTTCCATCATACCCCCAAAAGATCCTTCCCGACCGATGGATTTCCCTAATGTAATCCATAAGGTTTGCTCTCAGTAAGACCCAAAACTGGACCCTGAACTCCTTGGGAAAGGAGTCCACCCCAGCGGTTTTATTATCCTCCATGTCATCGGGGGCTCCTTAACTTCGTATGTGGTGGTAGGGTTGTCTAAATGCGTCCTTTGGGTAGTTGTGAGACGTGTATGGATCGCCTGCAACAATTGTTCCCGTGCTCGGTCGAGCTTATGGGGGGGGTTTGTGAAAGTTTGCGATGTGAACATGTTTTTATAGTATTTAGACGCATAGTCCGACATTTGTTGCTACCGGAGTCTTCGCTTGAAAAGGGTGCTTGAGTTTGGCGACCGTGTTGGCTCTTGCACGCGCCTTGGCTCTGTCAAAGAAGGATTTCGCCATCGCGTCTTCAGTGTTTCCCGCTTGCCACGTGCTTGAATCCTCCAACCATGTCTGTCGGTCTATGTATTCTTGGAGGTGCTCTCTTGCTTTTTGTAACTCGTTGAAGGATGGATGATGCAACGGGTCGTTCATGAGCTGTTCGTCCCATTCTTCAAGGTTCTTCATGAGGCTATTTAGTATTGCCTTGCAGTCTCTCGCAACCTGGGTCGAGAACCTCTTGTCTCTTTCTCTGAGTTGGGCCATCTCGCCATTGAACCAAGAGACCCTTTCTCTTGTGGCCGACTTCTGTGTTTGCCGATATCGCCAGAAGTCATTTGTCATTTCTTTGAATTTGGAGAGGGGGAGAAGGGAGGTGTTCAGTTTGTAGAAGCTCGGGCCTCTCTGGACATGGGAGTGGAAGGACAGGCCGAGGGTGATGATCCTATGGTCAAATAACTATGAGGCCAGACGTCTTATGCCACTTACAAAGAATCTCCGCCTGAATCAAGGTCCTTGTCTCCGCCCATACCTTCTCCTTTGGAGTTGGGATTCGAGAGTCCCTCAATGGTTCTGCAACACCTTTCCTTCCAGATGGACCACAGCGTTACCTTTCTGATCATTCAAAACCATGTTTTTTTTCTGTCTTGTGGAATTGAGCAGGGATGTTAGTCCATAGTAGGAGTTGGATGGGGTGTTCACGGAGGGAAGTCGAGAAGAGGTAATCCCAGAGATCCGAGGACGTCGCCCAATATTTTGTCGCCTCTCTACAACGTATAAGGCAATGTAGCACATCTTCTGGTTCATTTTCTGAGCATACCGTGCATAAATCTGAGCTGTTAGGGTCATTCTTACTTCTTCTGATATACAGCCACAACTTATCCTTGAGGTAGCCCAAAGACTAGGCCATAAAACTCCTTCTTTGGTACCCTGCATGTTACCCGTAGGTTGAGTGGGTACAATGACCGAATTAGGCTTTGTGCTCCGCAGGGAGAAGTCTTGCTTGCAGCTTCTCAGGGTTAAAGATCTCCCCTTTTATGCGATTGTTTTCCTTTTAGGTTGTCTGTTGCATATTGTAGTATAGGTGTCGTTGGTGATTTGGAGTTAGATTATATAACTTAGATAGAAATAGGATTTTGTCTTCAGGAATAGGGCTAATGCAAAAGAGGACGGTGTCAACTGGAAGACTCAAGGAATAGTTTTTAGGAACTGGAACATTAATGGATTGGGCAATGTTCTAGACAAAGAAGAGAAGATGAATGATATAATTAAAGGGTTGGCAGTCAATCCAAACAAGTCGACATATATAATTATGTTGCAAGAGACCCATCTCACTGTATCAATCGAACATACTAGAATTCGCAGAGCATTGGCCAAGAAGCTAGGAGGAATCAAAGATGAAATATGGTCATCCGACAACACATCGAGTATGAAAGGGATAACCATCCGCATACCTAAATCTTCCCGCCTCTGTAGTAAATATGGAAGCAGATACATCAGAAGGAAGATGGTGCCTCGTGGATTTAAGAAGGAAGGAAGAAAAATCCAGGGTAATCAACCTCTACTCACCTAACAGCTCCTCAAAAAGATCCTCATTTATAACATGTCTGGGTAGTCTGATCCCTTCCATATCACCCTGCATCCTAGTAGGAGATTGGAATGTCACACTGGACCCTGCCACCGATCGGATCTCCAGATCAACAATCTACCAGTCCACGCAAAAAGAATTTCCCATCGAGAAGTTGATGTTGGATCATAATCTGGTGGAGCCATACCGCACCTTACATCTAGGTGAAAGAACCTTCACATTAGTGAAAAAGAACCACGCCCAGCACACAACCTTCTCCTTCATAGATTATTTCATCCTATCAGACATATTAATGGACACAATCAAACACACATAAATTCTCCCCCTTCAACCGTACCCAGGACTAGACCACAAACCCGTTGAACTCATCCTCAGCTTCGAACAATATGTAAAGAAAGGATCCAACTTCCATAAGCTAAACAACTCTCTTTTACTAAGTCAAGTTTTCCCAACTGGGGTCCTAGAATGCATGCAGAATATGAAAGGCCTTCAAATAAGAGCAAGAATGAATGAATATGAACTGAGTGAGTCAATAACTAAGCACTTCTTCGCAAGGATCAAACCAAATTCAAGGACCACTTAAGGCTTCAAGACGCTCTCCGACCTAGCGGTAACGCTAACGGACAACAAAGGAATGCTAAACATAGCCAAAAAATTCTATGAGGAGCTTTATCAAACAAAGACCCCGACTCCTACCCCTCCAAGCACGAGAGAAGCCAGCTCAGGGATGGTTCAATATCTTGACAAAACGATATCACAAGAATAAGTAGAGGCTCTAGACAAACCCATTACTCTGGAGGAACTCCAGAATGCACTCCAGAGCATGAACAACAACAAAACACCTGGAATCGATGGCTTAAGAAAATAATTATGGGAGAAGTTTTGGCCTCTCCTCGGGGGCGACCTGATGAATTTCTACCAGGATAGCTGGCTCAAAGGTGGACTGGGGAACCTCTTGAGAAGAAACGTAGTAACACTACTGTACAAAAAGGGGGAAAAAGAAGACATAAGGAACTATAGACCCATTACCTTACTTACACTGCCCTACAAAATCCTAACCAAAGTCCTGGCCTTCAGGATATTAGACCTCA